CTCCTCCAGAGCAGGTCATGTGCTAACATGTACTTTCTGATTGGTTTTGTCGGTCTAGATTTAAAATCATCATAACCCACATGCATTTCGCCATGGTACTTGGCCTCAGTTGACTGTGAGTGCTATGTTAGGACACCTGGGATAAGAAAAGCAGTCTTGCTCCTGTCCTGTGGAATCAAAGGTGTTTTTCATGTAATACATCCACATATGTACAATGAGCATTGTGTATCTCAATGCTGGGCTATTTTTTACTGTATTGGTTGAGAGTTCTCAGTAGGCAAGTGTCTTGAGAGTCTTGCCTTTCTTTTTATTTTTTTTAATTTTTATTAAAATAAATTATGTCTTAGAAACATGCATGCATGCTTCACATATCAATTCCAGCTCCCTCTCCCACCCCCTCCTCCCTTGTCCCTCCCCCAGCCCCCCACCCAGTCCCCACATGATTCACCAGGGAGGGTGAGGCCCTCCTTGGGGGAATCTCTAGAGTCTGTCATTTCATTCAGGGCAGGACCTAGGCCCCTCCCTATGTGTCCAGGCTGAGAGAGCATCCCTCTATTTGGAATGGGCTCCCAAAGTTCATTTGCACGTCATGGTAAACACTGATCTACTACCCAAGGCCCCAGAGATCTCCAAGGCCTCCTCACTGACACTACATTCATGGAGTCTGGATCAGTCCCATGTTGGCCTCTCAGCCATCAATCTGGGGTTCAAGAGCTCCCCCTTGTCTGGTCAGCTGTCTTTGTGAGTTTCACCAGCACGGTCTAGACCCCTTTGCTCATCACTCCTCCATCTCTGTCACTGGGTTCCAGGAGTTCAGTTCAGTGTTTAGCGTGGGTATCTGTTTCTGCTTCCATCAGTCACTGGATGAAGGTTCTAGGATGGCATATAAGGTAGTCATCAACCTTACCATCAGGGAGGTTGCCTTTCTTTTTCTAACACCCACCTAAGGGCTGAACACTTAGCACATACTTGGAAGAGCCCAACCCGGTTATAAATATCAGTGTCTCATATTTGCACTGACCAAGCTTGCCTTCTGGCCCCCTCAGTCCTCCTAGAATCTCTATAGGAGTAAGTGACAAAAGATTATAAAACATGAAGTAACTTATTTACTGATCTAATCATTTTACATTATATATCATCAGTTTCGGTAGGATCATCAATTTAAAAATCATAAGTATTTGTGGTGGTATAGGCCCAAATTGTAAGTATTTGTGGTATTCATTCAATGAATACTTATTAGGGTCCTTCTACACAACAGTTGTTCAACCAACCGCTGCTGACACAGTGAGCATTTGTAGATGCTCTTATCATGGCTGTGTTTCCAGGAATAGGGTATGCATTTCCATTTTTTAATTAATTCTGGCCTTAAAAAATAATGTGTAGCTGGACAGTGGTGGCTCACACCTTTAATCCCAGCAATTGGGAGGCTGAGGCAAGCAGAGTTCTGTGAGTTCAAGGCCAGCCTGGCCTACAGAGCAGGTGCCAGGAGGGGCTCCAAAGCTATACAGAGAAACTCTGTCTCAGAAAACCAAAAGAGAAAAAAAAAGGTGGGGAGGAGGGATAAAAAAGCCAACAGAAAAATATGGGTGTTTCAGAGGGTCTCTCTGCAGAACTAAATCTATGCTGACTCTTAGTTAACACTGTTTCCCACTTCTCACTGAAAGGACATTTCATGTTTGGGGAAGATAATGGGAGCGTGGACCACAGCCGGATCCTTTCCAGGCTTCCAAGGCTGCATCACTCCATCTGGAGGTAATCAAAGGTCTGTGGTTCTCCATGTTTGCTTGGAGACAGCTGTTCTCCTAAGCAACCCGAGGTTACAACTGTGGCGTGTTTGCCTGCTTCAGAGGGCTGGAGGACCGGCATCTGCATCCAGAACCTCTGGGAGTTGTCAGAGACAGGACGGTCCAGCCACCCCTTCTGACACCACCGTGTTCTGAACAGGCTGAGGGCAGAAAGGCGGCCGAGGGAAGAAGGAAAAAAATGGTGAGAAAATGGGTGGAAATATAACCCACACTGCCATATAGCAGTCACTAATTTCCAGGATTATCGGTGGGAGGAAGGGAACGTCTTCAAACTGAGCTTCCTTTAGATTTGGGAGAGAGGGGTGAAGAAGGAGCGAGCTTTGCTGTCTGAGAGCTTCCAATCCAGGAAACCACGGTAGTGTCTCAGGCAGTTGTGACTCCAAGTGCTGAGTTCATGTGGTAAGTTACATAAATTCTCCAGGCCCCGGCCTCCTAACCTTCAAAATGGGGCTAATACCACACTTCATAACATTACTGGGAGGAGTGAACAAGAAAATGATCCTAGGTTGTAGAAACAGCAGGATCTTGAAAGTTCAAAGCCAGCCTGATCTACATATCAAGTTCCAGGCCACAGCTTCATAGCAAGACTGTCTCAAAAAGCAATACAAGCAATCACAGGAAAACATTGAAAGACTTTAATAAAAGAGAGCTGGTGTGTGGCTCACTGGCAGAGCACTTATCTAACACATGCCAAGCCCTGGGTTTAATATCCCCAAAGCAAAAACCAAACAAAAGGAAACAAACATAGAAATCCCATACTAATGGAGGGATATCTACTGTTATCAGTGCCAGCAACTTTAGCACGCAAAGGACAGGCTTCCGTAAGAGAGGTCTGGAGAGCTGGACGAGCTCAGAGGCACAGGGGTGACTTGATAGTTTGGAGTTAGGAGACGGGCAGGGCAGTCATTCACAGCTCTTTGGAAGTGCCAAGACAGGGTTTCTCTGTGGCTTTGGAGCCTGTCCTGGAACTCGCCTCTGTACACCAGGCTGGCCTCAAACTCACAGAGATCCGCCCGCCCCTGCCTCCCAAGTGCTGGGATTTAAGGCGAGCGCCACCACCGCCCGTCGATAAGTAGAATTTAAGATACAGAGCTGGAGGCCACAAGGGGCTGAAAAGGTGGTAATAGGCGTGGGCATCTGTAACAGAGGTGGCTGAATTTGGCTGCTGTGAGGGTAGGCGGATAGGCTCTGGGAGGAGGGGCTGGAGAGACGGCCCGGTGGCTAAGGGCACACACACATACGAGGCACACACATTTATAAAAATAATAAAAATCTTAGGAAGCAAGCAAGAGCTTGGGGCCGTGTGCAAGCATAGGCCAGGAAATAGAGATAGGAGTTCAGGCAAGAGAAAGGAGTTGGAGCTGAGGAGAAACTGCCAAGAGAGCAAAAGACACTGGAGAGGTAACTGTAAGGAAGACAGGGAGTGATGGGTTCAAGTGTTACAGGGGAGTGAAAACTGAGGAGACATCATTAGGCTGGCTGCTCAATAGCCATCGATGGCCACTAAATTTAGCCAGGACTCCATGAATGCTAGGCAAACCTTTTCCCATTCTTGTAAACCCTTCCACCGCTGCCTTTTGAGACAGGATCTTTCTAAGATGTTCAGGCTGGCCATGAACTTATAACCCTCCTGCATCATATTCTCAAGTATCTAGGATTGTAGGCATGGGTCACCTCCTCACCCAGCTGAGGCAAAGTATTGCTTTCAAACCATGAGTCCTTCTTCTGCCAGGTGAGAATTTCTACCTTCTTCTGCCAGGTGAGAATTTCTACCATGCTTAGTTGCGTGTGAGGAAAGATTGCTCAAGTTTAGGAAGGGGTGACTGAGGTTGGAGACAGTGATATTGCTGTCACTGAGACAGTTTGTGGATGGACTGTCCTGCCCAGAGGTAGGGCTGGCTGCCTGGCTGCATGGGTTGGAAGCGGGGAACCAGGGATAAGTATCAAAGTCTGTGTCAGCGTCTCTGCTGTAACTGGGTGAGCCGTTTCTGCCATCCGCGGATTGGAAGTGTGGCTCTCAGAGTAAGGCTGGTGACATAGTGGGTGTTTAAGAGAAGGAACTTGGACCCCTAAGAGGAGGAGCTTAGGAGGATGTTATCCCTGGCCCCTCCCTGCTTAGTGGCTTCTTTTCTGGTTATGCGATTTTCCTCCTCCTGTCACATACCGCCATTGTGGTGCTGTCTTCTATGATGTGATGCCATCCATAGTCCTTTCCAGAACCCACACTACACTTTCCGGAACTATGAGCTCAAACACTCTTCACTTTATAAGTACCCAGCCTACTTATTTCATGATCATTATCAGAAAATACTCTAATACAATCTTCCTAATGGGGCACAGCCCAGAACATGGCTGTCCATTCTTGCCTTAGCTTCCTGCGCTGCTGTAACTAAGTGCTCTTCAGGTGACTTAAACCAACCATCACGGGTACTGATCTGCTCTGAAATGAGAAATTAAGTAACTTGTATGTTTTATGGCATGCTCATCATATTTGCGCGATTTGTTACTCTTTGGGGTGACCAGGGATTTTGGGGGCTGATTGAGATTCATCTCTAGCTTATCCTGTCATCTTGCTGGGCTTTTAAAAAGCTGATTCCATGCAAGTTAACAGAGAGAGACAGTGCATTGTCAGCTTTTGTAGGATGGGAGCATTGTCACGCAACCAGTAGCAGCAGCCTTGCATAATGGTGAAAGCATAGGCCTTTGCTGCGCTTTGGAAGAGCAAATATGAACCTCTACACAGCACGACCCGAATTCTATAGAGTTGTATAACTCACACAAACAAAAGACACATTAAATACAGGAGCATCGTTGATTCTGGGAAGAGATGAATACGGGTAGAAAGACAAATAGATGGGTAATGGATGATAGGCAGCTATCAAAAAATTACAAATAAAATAAGAGAGGCTAATGAGAGGCTAAAGAAATGAATGAGACAGGTTACTGAGTATCCATTTTTGGGCACTTGAAGTTAAAAAATAGTTGAGGGTGTAGCTCAGTGGGAATAAGAATGAGTAAGTAAAATATCTTACTATTACTTTACTATGGGTACGGGTGTTTTGCCTGCATGTATGTTTATGCAGTGTGTACATGTCTGGTGCACACAGAGGCCAGAAGATGGTGTCAGATACCCTGGGACTGGAGTTACAGAATGTTGTGAGCCATCATATGAGTGCTGGGAATCCAACCTGGATCCTGTGGGAGAGCAGCCAGTACTTTTAACCCCTGAGCCATCTGACGAGTCTGTAAATTAAGTTGAGAGAGAGAGAGAAATAAAAGCAGAAAGATAAGTGAAGTAGTGGTGTGTCATACCCACCCCAAAGATTCCAGTCTGTTCCTGGATTTCCAAAGACACCTGACTAAGCTACTCCTGAGGAGGTCAACCCCTTGCCTGCCAAACTTACTCATGTTGGTGAGTGCTTCTTTTGTGGCCACCTCTGGAACTAAGGGCTTGAAGAACTTTACTTCACTGAAACTTCACAGCCACCTACCTGGCTGTTCTACTAAATCTCTGGGTTGCAGATCTCTCATGTGGCTCTGAGCTCATGGGGCAGTCTGGTTCTTCAAGGAGAATCAAAGCTAAAACAGGCTGTTCTGGTTTGTTTTCCATTGTTGTGATAAACACCACGAACAAAAGCAATTCAGGGAGGAAGGTTTATTCCACCTTACAGTTCTCAACCTGGCAATCAAACCACCATTTCACAGAGGTCACCTAAGACCATCAGAAAACACAGATTTTTACATTAAGATTCATAACAGTAGTAAAATTCCAGTTACGAAGTAGCAATGAAAATCATGTTATGGTTGGGGGTCACCACATGACGAGGAACTGTATTAAAGGGTCGCAGCATTAGGAAGGTTGAGAGCCACTGCCTAACAATTTACAGTCCTTCATGAAGGGGAGTCAGAATAGGAACCCAAGTAGGAATGGGGAGACGGGACCTGAAGCAGAGCCCGTGGAAGAGTGGGGCTCACTGGCTTTCTCTGCACAGCTTACTCAGTTTGCTTTCTCGTACTCCCCAGATGTGGCACCACCCACGGTAAGCGACCCCCCATCATTAATAATAACCAAGAAAATTCCCCCACAGGCTTGAGGTTCCCAGTTCTGAAATGATCTAGTTTGATTGGCAGAGAGAGAGAAAGACAGAGACTAATTTTCCAGATCTTCCCCTCCCTTTCCCAGTACCATTCCATTTAGTTGTTAATGACAGGGAACTTCTCCTAGACCAGATGTCCTCACAGTGTGGTCCCCAGACCAGTCAGTGTCTGGGAAGCCATAAAATAAACCAAATCCCCAGACCCTACTCCAGACCTGACTCCCAAACTCTGGGGATGGGCCCCAGAGACCTGGCTTTAAGCCACCACCCAGGTGACTTTGGCATGAGTTAGAGCTTCAGAACCACGCTCCTAGGCCAATGGCTTCACCAGACAAATGTTTCAAAATGCTGACGCCTAAGCTTCTCACCACCCTAGAGACTGATTTAAGCGGTTTAGGATGAGGCCCACACAAAGACCTTTCTAAAGTTCTGCAGGTGATGGAGACCACTGCAGCCTGGACTTTCTGAAGCAACAACTTTCCTCAGGAACAACCTAAGGCATGTTTGTAGTCTAGTGAAGCTGCAGGGACCAGCAAATGTGTCAGCACCAGAATTTCCCAACCTTAAGTCCTATCTTTCTCCAAATCCACACACCTGGAAACGCTCTTGGGCTAAGGAGGCACAAATTATTAGTTTGAGCACTTTCTGTAGCCTTTCCTACTTGAAGCTCACACAGTTATTCTTTCATGAATGTTGAGAAGCTGCAGTGGAGCAAATACCATCAGAATAATTTAATAGACAAAATGAGATCCGTATGTGGCACAGTAAAAGGTTAATATTATCAGTTATTACCGTCTCATTCTTTCTTAGATTATGTGTTTTGTGCTAAAAGGTCTTGTCATCTCACTTAGCATATCTCCGGTATTAGTAGGGTCCAATGAACACTTGTCTAACAAATGGATTCCCTAATCAATCAGTCAATCAAAGTTGCATTACTGAGGGAGAAACTGAGTGTGTCTTTATTTGGCATCCAAAGTCCAGCATGTCGCTGCTCTTGGAGTGAAACACAGGGAATAATAGTCTTATGGTGATGATTGAATGGGGATCAGTGTGCCAGGTCTGAATGTCACCTGGGGGATACTATAATCCAGAATGGGCAAGAAGGAGAAATGAGTGTTATAGACCAATGAATTCCAGGTCTGACCAATGAATTCCAGAATTTAAGAGGATGCCCCCTTCCCCTTCCCTTGGATTTCTCCATGGCCACATGAGTTGTCTAGGCCATTGAAATGAACCCAGTGTGGCTTTGCCTCCATTGATAAGCTTGAAGAACCAAATAGAGGCCTGGGGAGTAGCTTAGTAGTAGTGTACTTATCTAGTATGCACAAGACTCTTGGTTTGATCCCAACACTGAAAGAAAAAGAAAAAAATAGATACGGTGAGACTGTTGCCAGCTATTACCCTATTTTCTATAGGGTGGCTCATTATCTAGGTTGACTTGAGATCAAGTATGGCATTTTCAGTGCTAAAACTGGGTTAGTTCCAGACAACCCAGAGTTAGTCACCTCCCAGAGCAATTATCAGCCTCTTAGCTATTCTTCACTCCATCAGCATGGGCCTAAGTATGAAGGTGATCAGAGTCAAACTGTGGCTGAATGTGTTTCCTGTGAACAACTTTTCCGCTGAAGATCGGAGGGAGATTCCAGACTACATCTGTCTCACTTCAGAGACCATACTTTTATGTGTTATTGCTCCTGGATACTCGTAGTTTCTATCCCTGGGTTTTATTTGATTATTTGGGTGTAAGTTACAAATCTCTGCTTTAGTTGTAAGACACAATGAGTGTTTCCATTTTATTCCTTTTTAAAGATTTTTAAGTGTATGTTTTGCCTGTATGAATATCTGGGTACCATGTGTGTGCCTGGTACCTGAGGAAGCCAGATTTGAGTAACAAATCCCCTAGAAATGGAGTTACAGATGGCTGTAAACTACCATGTGGATGCTGGGAATCGAACTTGGGTTCTCTGGAAGAGCAACCAGTGTTCTTAACTACTGAGTCATTTCTCCAACTCTCCTATTTTGTTTGTGCTGCTGTTGTGAGCTCTATAGAGATGGAGAGAGGCTATGCTTGAGAACATACAAAGCAAGAATAGATGTATTCATGGCTTACTATATAATGCAGAGACTGGTAAGTGTTACTGAAACATTTTATGTATGGCTATAGTTTTTACTACAATAAGAACATACTGATTTATTATTTCCGTATTTATTTAGAATCTACAGCCTTTGGGCTGGAGTGATGGCTTTGTGGTTAATGGCTGCTCTTCCCTAGGACCCAGGTTCTATCCACAGCACCAATATGGCAGGTCACAACTGCTGTTCCAGGAATCGGACACCCTTACACAAATATACATGCAGGAAAAACACCAATGCACATAAAATACTGAAAAAGAAAAAAATCCTACATCCTGTCTGGCCTTGATTCACTATGTGGCTGAGGATGACCCCTGACTTCCTGATTCTTCTACTTCCACAATAAAGTTTCCTGGATAGCTTTACAAACCTGTCCCAGCCTTTCTTTCAGTTCCTTGAAGAACAGGCCAAGAACTTTGAAATGCTTGGCTCAGACCCCAGCTGCAGGTAACAGATAGCATGAGCCACTTCACTTGACTAAAGTATATATATTTGTTTTTGAAGCAGGGGCCTCTCTGGCTGGCTTGGTACTCACTATGTAGGTACAGCTAGCCTCAAACTCAAGAGACCTGCCTCCTTCTGCCTTCTAAGTGCTGATACAAAAGGACTACACTACCATGCCCTATATATATTAATTTTATGATTTTAAAAACAACACAAGACAGCTCAAGTATCTTTAGTCTCCAAGTTACTGATTCTCATTGCTACGATGATAATACCTATAGAAAGTATAGTAATGCCTTCCCTTGTTGAAGGTCAGAACCATTGTTTAGAAGTGATATTATAAGCCAGGCTTAGTGGCTCATGCCTTCAATCCCAGCACTTGGGAAGCTGAGGTACATGGATCTTTGTGGGTTCGAGGCCAACCTTATCTACATAGGGAGTTCCAAACCAGCCAGACCCTGGAGGGGGAGGGGAGCAGCTGCACTTACCAGCCTTCATTAGGAAGGGAGCCCAGATTATCGCTGTGTTCTAGTTCCTCCAAGTCTGCATGCCCACTGGGCAGGAATCTCCGCCATGGGTCAAAGCCAGCTAAGTGATCCAAACAAGGATAATATCTGTTACTAATGATTGCTAGACCCTCCACGGGTATCTTCCCAACCATCTGCAGGCATTAGCACAAACTCTTATCGAGTGAGAGGTGGTGACCAGGCATGGAGCAGAGGTAATTTGAAGCCTAGTCCTCAAAGATAACTGGGCTCTCTTTCTGGCTCTGGACAAAGAATGCAGTTTGTGGGGAAAGCACTAGTTGGGCGGCCTCCAGGACAGAGGGAGGTTCTGTTCACTGGCCTGAGGAGACAGTAAAGAACAAACACGTGCATGTTAGAACCGTTCGGGGAATGCGCAAAACAGGCAAAACCTGCTTTGAAATGTTTTGTAACTTGGATGCTCCCTGCAGGACAGGTTTTCTCACTGCTGGATCCCGGGCATCCCCTGGGTCATACCCGTTAGAGTGGTGAGCGTCCATGGGGACTCTGAGATGAGGAGGGACTAATGGCCAGGATCATGCAATGAAGAAGCTCGGTAGCTGAGCTGATGTAGGCGGAGGGCTGACGTGTCCTCTTCCAGGCAAGGGATCTCTCCCAGCTTTCTAGGTGAATGTTTGCCATTGATTAAAACAGACACATGCTCCAGTGCCAACATGTTTGTACCATCTTTGCCCAAAAGCAGCACAAAGTGAACTCTTATGCCCTTTACACTGTGGAAGGGAAGATAATTGACTTCATCATTCTTTCATGCTTCAGGATATCTCACATATGTATATTTGCATACATATATAATATTATTTATGTCCTATTATCATTAATTATAGTTTGGTCTTGGTTATGATAGGTTAAATAGGTGACATCAACACATATATCCTAAAATGTTATTGATTTAATATAGTAGGATTTGTCTCATGCATCACAGTTCTGGCTGATTCTCTAAGTTCTAGCTGACATGAGGATTCAGGCTCTTTTCACCCTAAAATGTCTTTGTATCCAACACTGGGCCTCCACCAATGCCACAGAGAGTATGCAAAAGACCACATAGCAGGATTTGTAGCATATACTACTTCTGCTGTATATGGACCATCCCATAGCGTGGTCCCATCTTAACTATAAAGTACACTGGGAAACTTTCTCGTCTGTGTGCACCAGTAAGGAGATGGGAGCAGGGAAATGCCATGAAGACAAGTTTCCCCATCACATGTGTATCACATTCATTGTCACCAGGTCCTTATGAGGGGAGCATTGGTGCCATTTTTATGAATCTCACTAGGAGGGGAGGAGGCATTGGTAGGAGTTCTTCCATTTGGAAGCTGGCAGGTTAGGATTCTCCATCCTAATGGAGTTTTAAATGTACCATCCCAAGCCACCCATCGGAACCCCAGCACTCCACCCTAGATGGCTTAATCCTAATACACACACACACACACACACACACACACACACACACACACACACACGTGTATGACTTTACATGCATGGAGTACATGCGTGTATATGCATGTCCATGTGTGCATGTGTGTGTGTATGTGGTTTCACATGCTTGTGAACATGTGTGCATCCAGCATAGAGGACAGTGTTTTCCTCAATCACTTTCTATCTCATATATTGGGGAAGAGTCTATCATTTGAACTCAGAGCTCATCAGTTCAATTGATTTGACTAACTAGCGTGCCTGGGGGACCACCACACCCACCCAGCATTTGCATGGGTTGCTGAGCAGCCAAACTCCAGGCCTCCCCCTTGCAATTAGCATTTTACCCACTGAATCATTTCCCCAGTGACTAAATTTTCAGTTAACCAGGGGGCCTGATCTCCTCGGAAGAGGACCTACATCTATGAAAGTCCATCTATAGGTGATGTGGTTGTATTAAAATCTTTTTTTTAATTACATTTGTTTATTTGGTGTGGACAGCATTTGCAAGGGAGCACATGTGGGTACTCCTTGAAGTAATGGGTTCGCTCCTTCCACCGCAGGAGAACGACTTGGTCTTGACTGCCGAGCCGTCTCACCAGCTTTACAACCCCCCCATTTTTGTTTCCCAAATCTAAGGGAACAAATTTGTTTCTTGGGCTTTTGGGGTGCTTGTCACTGCCTCTGCCAAAGAGTAAGCCTGCTGGAGGCAGAGGTGGGGTACATTCACAGAAACATTGGCACAGCTTTAGCAAAGGCGTCCTGCTTGTAAGAGCTGGAGAAAAGCAGGCCAAGCAGCCAGCAATGTGACGCCCCACGAAAGCAAAACATTTTCACTAAAAACCAGGCAAAACAAAACAATCAACCCTGAAATGTACCAGTGTACCATAATCTATTTATGAAATGGATTTTAAGATCATTTCAGTGCAAGCCAGGCTTTCAAAAGATGTTTGTTTTAAAGAGTGCAGTTGGCTTTTAGTCAAAAACAGAAGTTTCGGTAACGCACAATGACAATAGCAATGTAATTATCGGCCGCAAACAGCCAGGTGCCCAACTAAGCCTTTTCTACCCATGTAAGAGAGTGAAGCCAAGTCAAAAATGCCCTGCCTAGCCATAGTCAGAAGTTCAAAAGCCCAGCCTTTGTCATCAGGGAGGAATCGATTTAAAAAGCAAAGCCATTATTAGGGACAACCAGGCACCCTGTGGTAAACACCTTTTGTTAATGCACATTGAGAACCGAACTTTCTCACATGTGATAGAGTTCTGCTTCCAAGAAACCTGAAACCAAGCCAAGTCTACGGTTCTTTTCTTTTTCGAATGTCTGACATCAGCTCTGGGGGAGTTGCACAATGGGAAAGTACTGGCACTGGAGTTCCACGGTTCTCCTAACCATCATTTTCAAACACAGGCCTGTTCCCCGTTCTTTCTTGAACAGATTGTATTAGCATCAAAGTAATGACCTTGGAGAGTGTCCTGGGGAAGAAAAATAACACAAGACCTAAAATGCACTTCTTCAATCTACATAAGAAAGCTATTCCCTAACCTGTGTGCCATAAACAGCCCAAGTAGTTGATTTTTAGTTCATAAATCTTACTTAATTGTGATGATGCTACTACAGTAGGTCTTTGTTTCTTCCTGTTAGTGGAGAGAACTCCAGTGTGACTCTTGTGCTTTGGTAATGACGAGGCTTTTGTGTTCGTTTTCTGTGTACTTCTCGAAGTGTGTATATTCTATATGTATGTATAATTGCGTGTATAATTAAATTGAATATGGCAGCATGTCCCATGGTTGCCACAAGCAGATGTAAGGCTGAAGGCTGGGTTCAATATTAAACAAACTTCATTCTTGTCCTTGGCCCTTGGCCCGTGAAGGGTTTGGGTCTCCCTGGAGCATCCGGTGGGCGCAAAGGGTCCTGTATGCTTCTTCGCCAGTGACAACGGCAGCAGCCACCTAGCTGAGCTCCTGGGTTGTGAACTGTGAGTCAGGAGCTGCGTGTGTGTGTGTGTGTGTGTGTGTGTGTGTGTGTGTGTGTGTGTGCGTGCGTGTGTGTGTGTGTGTGTGCGTGTGTGTGTGTGTGCGTGCGTGCGTGCGTGCGTGCGTGTGTGTGTGTGTGTGTGTGTGTGTGTGTGTGTGTGTGTGTATTTTCTCTGAGACCTCATGGTGCCCTTTCCTGGTTGGTGCCTCTCAACATTTCATACTTGAGAAAGTCAAGGAAAAGTGAGCAGGTTATAAATAGAATCCTGTAGACTTTTTTTGTAAATCAAAAAGGTCAAACATCAGCCGAGTCATGTGCTTCAACCACCTACTTTCCCAAAAAAGAGACATCCATATTTATACTTCAGATGATAGGCTGGGCTTGGAGCAAGCACATAAAAACAAACAAACAAACAAACAAACCATGACTCTCAGTAGATTGCTTCTGCTTCCATGGAATCTTCTGATTCCAACTCCTCTCTTTATTCAGGTCCTTGTGTTGAAGCTGACTCAAGTCAGACTGGATTGCCCTGTCTACGGCTACCTTAGTTACATTTTGTTGCCGTGAAAAGACACCATGAACAATGCAACTAATGAAAGAAAGCATTTAACGGGGGCTTGCATCCAGTTCCGGAGGGTTAGACCATCGTCATCGTGCATGGGAACAGGCAGGCAGGTGTGGTGCTGGAGCGGTAGCTGAGATCTCTCCTCTGATCAGAAAGTTGCAGGCAGGGCGAGAGAAAACCTGGAGACGCACCTCCCCCAACAAGGCCATCTAATCCTTCCTAAGAGTTCCACCAACTGAGAACCAAGCATTCAAAGATGTGAGCCTATGGGGGCCATTCCTACACAAACCATGGCTATGTCTTACCCTAAACTAGCCCATCAAACCAACTGCTAACCTGGCTCTCCCACAACCTGTCCAGCCCTCACAATGGCACAGCCTCATCCCCAGGGGATCGTCTCACCTCGTGAGCCTCATGCTGTCTTCCAGGGCCACTGCTGACACTTACCTGGCAAACACTACAGAGCTCTCCCGCTTACACACTGCCAGCTAAGTCTGTGAACTCAGCTTGGATGAGGTGGATGTCCTTCAGAAGCCGAGCTGTAAGTAGGTAAACCAGAAGCATGGAGATAAGCCAGGACTCTCAGATCTGACAGTAGTATTACAAACTGCACCAGCCAGTCCCAACATTTTACAGATTAGCAAACTAATATTCAGGCACTAACGCCTAGGAGCCTTGATTTTAGGGTGACCAGTCCTGTTTGCAAGGACACGGGGCATAGGATTTCTAGTGTTCAAATCAGGGAAAGCCCTGGACAAGCCATGGCAAGTTGCCCACCATCAGAGAGGTGAGTCTCACAGTTGTCTGTCTCTCTAGACAGGTGGGATCTAAACAGGCTTGCTAGGATCCCGAACCGCATGGTCAAGCTCAAAAGCAGCTTTACCAGAATGGCTCTGCAGAGCCAACAGCTCCCCAGGCATGTGCGTGGGTGTCACCAGGGAGCAGCTGCTTTGTGTCTGACTCGTGCCTGACCAAACCCTTAGCCTCCTGGACTACAACATGTGAGAAAGTTGCTTACACAGAGTCTGTCTCTCAAAATGAGGCTGTGGGCTTGTGTATTCATAATACGTTGGGGGTGGGTGCTGCTCTAAGTGGCTTCCTACAGGCTGGGAATGGAGAAGTCTGGCTTGGAGAGACAGATCGGCAGGACGACCCATGCCCCTGACTTCCTTTTTTCAGACGTTTCCTCATTCGGAGGTTTTGAGTCCTGCAATAGTCTGTCATCCTTGGCCAATTTTGGACTTTTTCCCCAAATGTCAAACCCCTCATTTTAAATTTTTTCCTGGTTTTACTTCTCCTCCTGGGCTATTTTGCTCTGAGCCTTTGGTTGTTTGGTTGTTTGCTGTTTCCATAGCCGCCTCTGCTATGTATGCTTCAAATCCAGGCTCCACCTAATCCTCTAACTGAACAAAGCAAGGGAGAGGGGGACACAGGACAAAATAATGCCAAGGCTCCCGGCAAAATGTGAAGACTGGTTGAGTTATATGTACATGTCTATTCTCTTCCTTACCAGCACCCTCTCAGATAATTTGAACTCCCTAAACTCCATCTTTACACACATGCTAACTTCCTTTTTTTTTTTTTCCTTTTTTGAGACAGGCTGGCCTACATCTTTTTATTCAGCAAGAATGAGTTTGAACTTCCTAGCCTCCTATCTAAGATTATAAATGTTTGCCATGATGCCTAGCTCATGCTGTGCTGGGGAATCGAACCCTAGGCTTCATTATTGCTAGCAGACATTACCAACTGAACCATATCCCCAGCACCTACACTCTAGTCATTCAATAATTTGTCCTTGTTGTCAACCACCACCAAAATGTCCTTAGTGCCCATGTGATAGATTTACTAACCTGACAAACTAAGCTTGGATAATGGCTTCAAAAATGAACCTCAACTGTGACCCCCAGATTGAATACCCCTACCAGGCTATCTTAACATTTTAATGAACCTAGCCCTAGGGGAGGGATTTTGGAGTTGGAAGACAGGGAGGTGGTGGTGGAAAGTATAGTTGGTTATTTTGGGGGAGAGGTCGATGACAGGAGTTGCCAAATTTAGCAAAGAAAACTATAGACCAGCCAGTTGAATCTGGCTTCCATCTGAACAGCAAACATCATCTGGTACAGGTATATCCATGAACGATACTTATCCTCAAAGTCAATTTAACTATGCATCCTGTATTTTATCTGCAACCCTATCACCTGTGGTGTCGAGAGCCAGGATCACTGTGGAGTTTGGGACAACTTCCAGGAGTCTGGGAGAGGACCACGTGGTACAGTCGGGTGAAGTAGCTGCCCCCAAAGCCAGGCTAGCTGATGTAAGGGGGCATCTGAGGCCGGCCTATACAGAATGCTCCTGCAGCCTGGCTACCTGCAGGAAGGCAGGCATGCTGGCTGTGCTGGGCCCTTCCCAGAAAGTGGAGTGTCTGCTTCCAACAACTTAGCTGCCTGATAGCCACCAGCCCGGAACGTTATTTTTAGGCCCAAAGAAGGAGTGGCAAGGTTTTAAAAATAAGATAACAGATAAAGGGGGGTTGCGTTCAGGCAGCTCACTCCTGAAAGCCAGTTCAAGACCAGGAACCACATTCATACGCCCACGGCAGTCAAATCTGTTAACGGTCAGCACTGACAGCTTTCCGCTAAAAAAAAAAAAAGACACAGACCCCACGCTTATTGTTCACTTTTGTCACAATGAAGGTAATCGTACTAGCTTCAAGAAAATTGCTTTTGTCACCCATAACCTTTTGTTTTCAACTAATAAAGAGGCTAATTTGTTATCTGTTGTGTCTGTGCTGGACACACCCGGCCTGTGACTTCCAGATCTTTCTCTTTGGCCCTCCATAGCCAGCTGTGAGTCTCTGGAAGGTAACGTTTCCCTCCGATTCTTAGGCCCAGCTGATGATGGCCTTGCACAAGAGTTTGGAGGGTGGAAAAGCAGAGGTCTAAAACACTGCTATGTGTGTCTATTAAAATGATCGCGGTTGAGCCGGGGTTGGGGGGTACACAGCTTTAATCCCAGCTTTTGGGAAACAAGAGGCAGGCGCTCTACATAGTGAGTTTCAGGACAGCCAAAGCTACCTAGTGAGACCCTGTCTCTGAAAAAAACAAAACAAAAAAATCGTTCATGGTTCCACAACCTGATAAAAAGCTCAATTATATAGGAACAGGTGAATACTTCAACATGATGGAATAACCTCACTGCCTTGTGCTTGATGAGGAAATGCCAGAGACAGCAGCACTAACTGTCAAAATGACAGGAGTGTTCTCTGTCACTGCTATTTACCGACTTTCACTAAAGGCACTAGCAGTCATGGTTAGATTCTATAAGGACTTCACAGTGGTTAGGGTGTAACCCAGTGGTATTTAATATGCAAAAGGCCCTTGGTTAAATGTATAACAATGTCCCTCCAAATTTCAAATGTAAAAATGGATAAAATGTTTTTTATTCTTTTTAAAGATGATTTATTATCTTTACTTTATTGCACTAGTGTTTTGACTGTGTGTCTGTGAGGTGTCAGATCATTTGGAGGTGAATTACAAACAGGTGTGAGCTGCCATGTGGGTGCTGGGAACTGAACCTGGGCCCTCTGGAAGAGCAGTCAGTGCTCTTAACTGCTGAGTCATCTCTCCAGCTGCTGTTTTTTATTCTTTACATGGGATGTGATTATATGCCTTTGGGCTTGAGACTCATCTGAAAATTGCATAAATAGTGAAATAACTTGATAAAATATGCAAAATTAATATGTAGATACAATTAGCCTCATACAAACAATAACAGGTCCAACAACATAAGGATATGTATCACTTAAGCAGCAAAAACAACAAAAATGAAAGTGCCTAGAAACAGATATAACAGGAAATGCACAGTCCTGGCTGAAGAAAACTTTAAGGGAAAAACCAAGGGACTCAAAAAGTTTCAAATGAGTGGACAGACACACATGGAGATGAAGTATTGTAATGGTTAAAATGTCACCTCTCTTTAAATGACTATTTTAACATGATCCCAATTAAAATACCAACTTATTTTCCTCTTATATTTGACAAGATGATCATTAAAATGTTTTTAAATGAGGGGGAAAATAGCCAGAAATATTTTGGTTTGAGTTTTGTTTGGTTTTTGAGACAGGGTTTCTGTGTAACCTTGGCTGTCCTGGAACTCACTCTGTAGACCAGGCTGGCCTCGACCTCACAGAGATTCCCCTGCCTCTGCCTCCCAAGTGCTGGGATTAAAGGCACATGCCACCACTACTGGCTGCCAGGGGTATTCTGAGTGTTAAATGTCTCTTACCTGCTCCCAGAGACCATAGCCTTTAAGTGTGCTACGGACTGTGGACACCAGTTTTCTTGTCTGTTTGGGAATAAGAGAACCTTATTTCTTACTTTACCTATCTCTGTGTTGTGAGAAATATTATTTGTGTTCTGAAAGTTCATGTGGCTCAAAATCTAAAAGCTATTTTAAAAATGGATTTTAAATTTGGGGGCTGGAAAAGCCACTGAGTCTTAGAGTGTTTGGCTGCAGAAGACCCAAGGCCCTAAGTTCCCTCCTCCACACCACACAAGATAAATAAATAAATTCAACTATGTGAAAATGTAGAATTGTAAAGCTAAAAAGGCATACTAAGAGTCTTCAGCTCCTATCTTAAACAAAGAACTAATTTCCTTTATATAAAAAAGCTGCAAGAAATATTGTAAGATTAAATGCCCCTTTGTATACAAAACATTACCAGAAATAAACAAGATTAAAATTTGGCAATCCAATAGAGAAATTAGCAATAACTATTCATATGTCTATTGGTATATTCAAAAATCTGACTTGTGGGACTACAAATTAATACTATTCTGTGGGAGGCAATTTTGCAAGATCCATTAATAATTATAATAATAATAAGCACACATATCCTTGACTCAAACCTTTGTAACTACTTCTGCATATGAATGTGTTTGACATAATAGTAGTTTGATTTAACCATTGTACAGTGTATGTGTGTGTGTGTATGTTATAACATCATATTGTAACCATAAATATAAACTACTATTGTTCACCAATTAAAAGTCAAACTTTAAAAATGATCGAGATTCAAAGCCACTCATGAAATCATTACTTAAAACAGCAACGTTGTGAGCAACACATCGTGTGTTAATACAAAATCAGTCCAGTGAATCATAACTCATCAGAGTAACGAAATATTATCCAGCAATACAAGTGAAGAGTATAGAAAGAGAATGAAGATACACCATCTAACAGCCTACAGTGTAGGTCCTCATAAATATAATTCAGAATTTGGTAACATTGGACTGGGGATGAAACTCACAGGTCGAGTCCTGGTCAAGTATGTGTGAGGTCCCAGGTTCAGTCCTAGCGCTGAAAATGAAACTTCTCTTTGGGTCGACAAAATGTTTCTGCAAAGACATGCTACTGAGCATTACAGCTTGATTCAATCCCCGGGACTCACGTGGTAGAAGGAGAAAACTGTTTCCCCTGACCCCCCAGGTCATCTTCTGTTCTCTGTATTCATGCTGTGGCACACACACACATGTACACTAAATAAATAAATGAATGTAATAATAATTTTAAAACTGTTTTAAAAGTTGGTAACAGCTCAAAGATGTTTTAAGTGAAAAACACAAGGTGTGCAGCAGTGTGCCCTGGGTTACCCTCCCTATGTAAAGGAAAGCACTATGTTACTAGTGTTTTATAGACATTGCAAAGAACAGTCATGGTGAAGGGAGGAAAGGGGGAGGGAATCCAGAGGATGGAAAATGTATGGTGGCCTTTTGAGTGGCGCATGCCTTTAATCCAAGCGCTCCAGAGGCAGAGGCAGTCGAATCTCTGTGAGTTCAAGGCCAGCCTGGTCTACATAGAGAGACTTTGGCTTAAGAAAAAAGACCATCTCCATCTCCAGACTTAGTTCCTTCGCATCAGAAAATTTCATAGCAGGTAGGAAAGTGAGGTTTTTGCAAATATTAACAAAAGGATACACAAGATTAGATACATGGGAGTCTTCCTTTCAGCCAAATACCTATGGCTCTTGCCAACCAGCCGTTGATATTTTTCAACATTTGCTCTAATCAAACGCAGCAAGACTTTGTTTACACAACAGCCTCCCCCACATCCTAACAGAGCAGCACATTGTTTGGTGAAACCTTAGATGCCAGCACCTCATCTGCATGACCGTTCATTCAGTTACAGACAGCCAGTGTGTCCCTATAAAATGAAAAGTAAAAACTGCTGAGATGAATGACAGATTTGAGTGCTTGAGGAGCTGACATCTTAGCCAACTCCCTTATTTTGACCTTGAAGAGTGTCTAAGTATCTCAAGCTCAGATGAATATTTTATTTTGAAAATTTTTAAATTTATGTGTATTACGTGTCTGCAGAGGCTACTAGAGGTTGACAGATCCCCCAAGGACTTGGAGTTACAGGTGCCTGTGAGCTGACCCATGTGGGTGCTGGGAATCAAACTCAGATCCTCTGCCAGAAGATCATTGCTCTTAATTATTGAGTGATCTCTCTAACCCCCAGAGGGCATTTCTTTTTATTATACCAAATAACACACATTTATTTAAAAAAAAAAGACTAAATATTTTGCACTTAGGGATTGGCAGCAGTCTAGTGTTATATTAATATTTTTTCACAGAGTAAGATTTTGTTCCCCCTTCCTTTTCATTGCACTTATTTTGTGTGTCTGTCTCTGTGTACATGTGCGTGCACACATGTGTGAGCCTTTGTGTCATGACATGCATATGGAGGTCAGAGGACAGCTTTTGGGCATCAGTTGTCTCCTTCCCCTACGGAGGTCCCAGGGATGAAACTAAGGTGGACAGGTTTGGCTGTTGAGTCATCTCACTGGTCCAAGTTCAGTTCTCAAATGGTCATGTCAGGACATATAACCACTCTCCCTCTTCATAAGTAACTCCACACGCTCTTCTAACCTCCTGACAATCTTCATTTTACAGTTCAGGAAACCTGTCAGTGAGACTGGGTAACGTTCCCAGGATCACACAGCTGCTAAGGAACTAAACTCAGATCTGCCTGATCCTGATACTTACATTCTCTGCACCACAGCACCCAACTGGTGGGCCTTCTGAAAACATAGGTAGAAGGTAAGAGAAATGTCTCAGCAGTCATGACTGCTGGCTGCTCTTCCAGAAGGCCTGGGTTGGATTCCCACCACCCGCCTGGCAGCTCACAACCATCTGTAAGTCTCTAGTCCCAAGGGATCTGAAGCCTTCCTCTGGCCCCCTCAGGTGCCAGGCACACACATGGCACACAGACACACATAGATAAAAATTGATATATATGCAAACAATGCATTTTTTTGTTTGTGAGCCTAGCCTTTAACGGCTGAGCCATCTCTCCAGCCCAAAATGCAATTTGTAAAAAACTGCTTGGGTATGATTTCTGTTTCGATGTTAAAGCTTCAGTTGCCTCACAGAGAATGTCTTAGAGATAACCACACCGTAAGTGTAAATGCAATGTGTTTTTGAGGTTCACGTTGCTCATTAGGTGACCATGGGTGCCATTAGCACCATCATTACCTACCTTACATTAAATGCAGTTTAATTACAGTTTGCCTTTTATCCTCAGAACTTCCTGGAACTTCATCTTTTCTTTGAACTGCTCTGCTCGGTACCTTTTAAGTAGCCATTTCAAGCATGTCTCAAGTATGTTACGTCTTTAAAGACACTATAGAGTTTTAACATTAATCAGGACCTTTTGTGTTTGTCTGTATTCATGCCTCTCTCTCTCTCTCTGTGTGTGTGTGTGTGTGTGTGTGTGTGTGTGTGTGTGTGTAAGAATTGCTCAATTGCCTCTCCACCTTGTCCTTTGAGACGTGAACTCATTGGCTCAGTCACACTAGCTAGGCAGCCAACCCCAGCAGTCCTCCTGCCTCTGCCTCCCCAGTGCTAGGATTACAGTGTGCTTGCCATGCACAGCTCTCACGTGGCAGGTCACACTAAGGATTGAACTCGGGTCCTGGTGCTTACACAGCAAGCCCTTGACTCTGAGCCCCCTCCCTCGGCCCCTCGTCGTCCTTCTAACCGCCTCGCTGGGTCTCCACGTATGACGCACGCTTTTACCTTTTCTTGTTGAACCTTCCAAGAAACAGTTTTTTTCTTTTCTTTTTCTTCCTCTGCGTTTCTTTATTTTGATACAAGGTCTTATTATTTGGGCCAGGCAGGCCTGGAATTTGTCATTCTCTCTTGCCTTAGCCTACTGAGCGATGGGATTACAGGCATGCGCCACCACACCTAGCCAAGGCATTAGCTCTTTGGTAGAGTTATCAATTCATAGGGCACTCAGAGTAGATGTAAATATGATATTTCAGATATGAAATTGATCCTTAGCCAAAGAGATAGTTGGAGCAAAGTGCCAGGATCCAATCTGGTATTGACTGGAGGTTGGCTTTGAAGACTTTGGACCATGGACTAAGACTGTGAAGTTTGAGTAATGTTCCTTTGAGTGATATTCTTCTAATCACCTTTGCACTACTAACAATCAGATACAGGGTTTTAGAGGCTCTTATAATTTCCCTTTTATGTGGTTACAGATTTGGGTCAATGGCAGAGGCTGATAAGCAGCAATCAAAGCAGGGGTATAAGAAGCAAGATCATTAAGCGCTCCCAATATGGCTTCTTTTGCTTCCCTAGTGGAGTTCCCCCTTACTATGGCCACCACAAAAATAAATAAATAACTTACTGCACACAGAGAAAAAGAAAAGGGAATAAAAGTAAATTTATGAGCATCTTAATTTGAATTTCAATATGAAAAACACAGCTATTATAGCTTTATTACACCCAATAGTGTAGAATTATGTTTCACCCTTCAAATTATGCCATATACTAAAGGGTCAGGGGCAAAATTATGGTATAGATCATGAGCTCTATGGTGTTTAATTATTCACAAAGCATTGGGGAGGTATTTCATGGCCTAGCCTGATCCAGTGAAAAGAGCAAAGGTTTTTAGAACGTGCTATCCTAGGGTTACACAGAAACCCTGATTGGAACTTTAACTGAGTGATTGAATCATAGAACTATGTGACCTTGGCCAAATTCCCTGACCAAACTGAACCAGGCTTTATCACCTGGAAGGGGTCATTGTGAAGATTAGTAACGGGACACTAAAGGCAGCAGGAAGCAGACCCTTACAGTGCCCAAGAGAGTCAAGTCTCTCTTGGGCCCTTCCCACCGCAAATACCACTACTTTGTTGAGTCAAATTTGAGTATGAGAAGATCAGCTGTTTATATCTGGCCTGCCAAGTGCAGTGGGCAATCGAAAAGACATATTTACTGCAGCTCCTAATTCAAGCTCCTCAATAGTCTGTACTTCAAAAAGAAATGCCTCCACAGTGTTCCTTCTTAGAAGAGTCAAAAACCAAACAAAACAAAAACAGCAGAAGAAAACATCTACTTCATCAGTTGATACGGTCACAAAAAGTAAAGCCTTTTGTTGCTGTTTCTTGTGATTTGAACAGTATCTCACTTTGTAACCAGGCTGGCCTCCAACTTGCCACCATCCTGGCTCAGCCTCCCAAGTCCTGGAAGCACAGATAGATATCTCCAAGCCAGGATCACAAAGTATCTACCTATCTACTCAATATTTAAAGCCTTTCAAAAAAGATAAAACTGGGCTGCTAGAGGGCTCAGCATGTAAAAGTGCTTGCCACCAAGCCGACAGCCTGAGTTTGATCCTCAGGAAAAGAGAACTGACTTTCCAAAAGAGAGGCCATATTAGATGATGCTATTTATGGTATTCTAGAACATCAAGATAAACATGGTTACCTGAGGCAGACCAGTAGATACTTGGGGAGGAAAACTGGCATGAAGAAGCAGGATTAGAACCCAAAGTCATCGTCTTACCCTGGAAGTAGTTCAGTGGTAGAGTGCTTCATAGCATCTGTGACACATTGAGTTCGGTCCCCAACAATACAAAAAGGGCACACCTCTGGGATGGCAAATGACTTATTATCTTGATTGTGGTAATGGCTTCATTAGTGTGTGTAGGCGTGTATGTGTACTTACCAAATTATGTACTTTAAATATGTGTCATTTATTGTATGCCAGATATACCTCAATAAAAACTTCTTCTTCCTCCTTTTTTTTTAAGAAAAGGCCTTGCGTAGGTGAAGCCCTGAGTTCAATTCCTGCTGAACCTCCCCCCCCCCAAAAAAAAGGAGGGAAGGAAGGAAGAAAATTGTGTTGATTTTGCATAAAATAAACTGTATTTTAAAAAAAAAAGCTCCAGCCCTCTGTCATGAGAATGAATCTTCATTACTTCCTGACTATAGGCAGCTGCAATGTTTTATTTCTGGACTGTTGGGCCTTAAAAGTAGAATCTATATTTAACTCAAGTTCCTCAAACCCCACTCTGTCCCCAACAGCAGGCTGCTACTCACTAAATATGTTACTGTTCGTTTTGGTTTGGTTTGGTTTGGGTTTTTTTGATAAATAGTAAGTTGTCTGGCTACTTTTTTGGTAAAACATTAAAGAGGATTAAAACAGTCCCAGATAACTTTCCAAATTAACCTGCAGTTGTTTGACTCGTCCATGTTTCACAGGCATCATCATACTTAAGAACTCTAGGGGGACATGATGTCCCAGGCCTGTGATCCCAGCACTCGGGAGGCAGAGACAGGAGGATCATCAAAAATAGTGGCCAGCCTGGGCTACAATTCAGACTCTGTCTCAGAGACAAAAACACACAGAAATTTGAAGGTGGTGCTCAACTACTTACTGCTTGAGTGCAGGAAAAAAAATGTCTGTAGGCCTCAGTTTACTTAGTTCTTAAAGAGAGGGGTGTGTGTGTGTGTGTGTGTGTGTGTGTGTGTGTGTGTGTGTGCGCGCGCGTTTGTGTGGAGGTCACATCCAGGTTGTCAGGGTTGGTAGCAAGCACCTTTACCTGCTGAAGCCTCTCACTCACCCCTCCTCAGCTGTTAAGAGGTATAATAATATACCCATGTCTTTTTCTCCTTTTTGAGAGACTCAATAAACCAATTAATTCAAAGCACTTAACCCCAGTGATCAAGAAATGTTTCTTTTTATTTTAGGTTGTTATTACTGCTCATAGGTCCATAGCTCCATTATAGTTTTTGGTTATTTTCTTTGTTTCGTTGTCTCTTTGTTTCTTTGTGTCTCTTTTTTTTTTCTCCTTCCCTCCCTCTTTCCCTCCCTCCCTGTCTCCCTCCCTTCCTTCTTTTCTTTTTTCCTGTTTGTTTTTCTTTTTACTTTTCTTTTTTTGGCTTTTCAAAACAGGGTTTCTCTGTCCTGTTTGTTTTTCAAGACAGGGTTTCTCTGTGTAGCCCTGGCTGTCCTGGAACTCACTCTGCAGACTAGGCTGGCCTTGAACTCAGAGAGATCTGCCTGCCTCTGCCTTCCAAGTGTTGGGACTGAAGGTGTGAGCCACCACTGCCTGGAGGGTCCAGTATGTTATAAAAGGAATCCTTAAAAAAAAACCTTAAATATTCTAAAACCCTGTCAGCATACATAGCAAACATACAATGGATGCTAGAAGAGAAAAACCTCCTGTCCTCATATCCAGTTGCAAGTGAATTAATACATCTCCAGCACAAACGTTTTAGCTTATGAACTCCACGCAGGAAGGAACCATTCCAAGCTGATATTAAAGTTCATCTGAAGGTTAGGCTTTCTAGAAGCATGCAACTAGAGGAATTTAATTTATTAGAACAATCGCACGAGATGCCGTAGCTTATGGTCTTGTCAGCATATGTTATACTTTGTCCTCAGACCTCTTCATGAAGAGAAAAATGAAAACGCTGCTGTTGACTTTCTCCACTTTGAGGTTCTTACATGTGGAAATCCTCTTCTCATATTTGCTTGCATGTTTTCTCTAGTGAAAAACACTATGTCGTTCTGTCCTTAGAGAACTAATTAAACAGAACGTGGAGAAGTGGACTCTTCAGGGAGTTCCACTGTGGGTGAGCTCAGTAAATACATCCAAAGCCAGGAGACTCCAGAGTCCCGACCTCCCATGGACTAGGCCTGGGCTTTGGAACCAACCCTTTTCAGCATTAATTTTTCTTGAGCTTTCAGCCAGTTACTTAAAAATAGTATGCTATTGTCTAATTTATATTAGGCCCAATCACACCTCCTATATGTTTAGGGAATATTTATAAAATACAGACAACTATTATCCTTAGTAAACTAGGTTATTAATCCTCCCTCCAAATCCAAAATGTGATAATGTGACTAGTATTTACATCTGACCATTTAAGTATGGTCCAGTATGGCTCATTTAAGTATGGCCTTCAAAGTGCAACTTAGTTTGTTTGTGTGAGATAAAGAGAAGATCAGTAGTTGGGAAATGTCATTTTGTTTCTGATTCTGTCCATAGTAGGTGGATGATCACTGGTAACCAGTTGACCCCTCAGTCTCCTCAAATATAAAAGTAAAAGCTTGACCAGGAAAAAGATCTAGTAAACGTTGCTAGTCCTGTAATTTTTGTGCCATTACAGACATTAATAATCAAGCACTGGCCTTTTGTACCAAACTGGGAAGCTAGGAAGTGGAGTGCAGTACAGACAGCTGAGTGGTACAGTGTGTGTATGAGGTTCTGGGTTCGACTTTAACACGGGGTTTGAGGGGGCTTCACAAAAGAAACACTGGCTAGCTAGCCGCTTCTGAACACTTAGCAAAGCACTGCAGGCAGCCCATGTGTAACAGATTTGAATTCATAATCTAAACGAAACCACTTTCTTTGGCATATGGGTGCACACCTATAATCCCAAGACTAGTGAAGATAATGAAGACTATTGTGAGTTCAGGGCTAGCCTGGGCTACATTGCCAGATCCTGTCACAAAAATCAGAAGGAAGGAAGAAAGGGAGGGAGGAAGGAAGGAAGGAAGGAAGGAAGGAAGGAAGGAAGGAAGGAAGGACAGGAAAGGGAGCCAGGAAAATGAAGAAAAAAAGGACATTACTTATTCCTGAGTCACAAGATGTCTAAGATTTAATTTTAATATTATTCACAGGACAAAACCAGTCAGGCAGTAGTGACACACATCTTTAATCGCAGCATTTGGGAGGAAGAGGCAGGCAGATCTCTGAGTTCTGGGCCAGCCTGGTCTACTAAGGGAGTTCCATGACAGCCAGGGCTACACAGAGAAACCCTGTCTCTAAAAACAAACAAAGGTGTAGGAGAAACCGTAGCCAGCCTATCCAAGTAGCAATCACCCTGTCTCAGGTGCCTGAGCCAAGCTGCCCAGAGACTGACAGAGAGACACGTGACCCAGAGAAACCAATGAGGAAAGGACATACAGCAGAGTCAGCCGCCTGAGCCAATAGGACCTTGGGAGGGGGTATAAAGGCAGGTCTAACTTCCTTAATAAATCAGTCTGCAGCACGTTCTGCTACTCACTGATGCCCAGTGCCTGAGACAAAATCCGTGGGATAAAACAAATGACAGTGGACAACTTTCTTACAGATACAATTTCTCTTTGCACCTTTTCGAATGCCTCGTCCTCTTTGCAGGGCCTGGTCACTGGGACATGCTGGTCTTTCGCTTGCTGCATTCGACTTCTGTTTGTCCAAAATGAAACTCGTTTAATTATTTTCCCCTTTGTTCTAAAATTATTTTCTGTAAAAACCCGAGCATAGAAAAATACAAAATTAAAGGCTGTTGTGCCCACTCAGAGAGGATCCCAAGGCTTCAAGGAGCTTAACGACACTGAATGCAAATACAAGAAGGTCCATTTATTTCTGGAAAACCAGCTAGCTAGGGCTCAACTCTGTCGAGAGTCAAAGCCCCGAGCCACAAAAGCAAGGCACTTTTAAGGAAAAAAAGAGTGGAAGGGAGGTGTCCTGTATCTGCATATCCCAGTCCGCAGGTTTCCCATGGTTATAGAGATTATTTAGTACAGTCAATCTTTATACACAGTTATAGCATACCAACTTTTCATACAAACTTATCATAAGGACCTTGAGAAGACAATAACTGCCTTTGGTTAAGTAGAATTAACTGGCACATCTTTGCTCTGGGATTCCACGGCCAGAGCACATCCTACGATTGTGAGCTTAGGAAGTAGCTGCTGATGCTGTTGCAGCTGCTCGAGGGTCTGGGCTTCTGATTACGTAACCTCACATAACCCCCCTCACTTATCTGGGGACTTTTATTCTCTTTTGTTTTTTTCCATCCATTTTCCTTAGTGGCCCAGAACACATCAAGGCCAGCAAGATAGCTCAACCAATAAAGATGTTGTCGCCATGCGTGATAACTCGAGTTCTACTCCTGAAACACATGTGGTGGAAGGAGAGAATCAGTTCCCACAAGTTGTCTCTGACCTCCACGTGTGCACCATGGCGTATACACGCATGCGCACAAAATAAATAAATGTAAATTTTTAAAAAGGAGAGAACTATGAAAAGCATTTGTTTTCTGCTCCATTATTAAATTCTTTAGTGCATCAGGGAAGACATAGGCTTACTTTCCCACATAGCAGTGTTAACCATGGGATTCCATTCCTACTCCCTGCTCATAAACCTCCATCTTTGTCCGGGAACTCCTATTCTGCTGCACAAATCCTTGAAGATACAGCAATATATTGAAAGAGGAAAAGATGTTTAGGCCCTCAACATAACCAAAGTTCAAACAACAGTCCGTTCTCGGAGGTTGATGCAAGTAAATACAGAATGAATACATTTGCAAAGTCTGTGATTAAAATCCAGTTTGAAAAGAAAACAGGATTAGGAAGAAAAAAAAAAAAGCAAGCATTACCCTCCTCACCTCTGTATCTGAGTCCCCACCCTCCACCATGCTCTTTTTTTTCTTATAACAGTAATTTACTTAGGAAACTGTAGCCAGGAAAATAAATAAATAAAAATCATGTCTCCATCCGACACGATTCCTCGGTGGACATCTGGAGGCTATTCATTCAGCCTCTTTTCCATCTGTGTATATATCTTTGCAGAAGGTCAAACTTTTGCTCTCTGTCATTCCACACAGCACTGC